CCCCAAAACCCCAAAACCCCAAAACCCCAAAACCCCAAAACCCCAAACCAACTAATTATAATTGAACTCTAAAACTTATAAAACAGTGCACACAAACAAAAGGTTTTTAACCAAGTTGATAGAAGAGATAAGTGGAATTTTAAGTGAAATTGGGGGGTTTGGTAAGGGAAAATGGATGTGAAGGAGAAGAGAGGTTAAGGTGGTGTGGATTTTTAGGGTGAGAAATCTGAGTTAGGGTGTCACTGAGATTTCTATGCTTGAGGCTGCTGTAAAGAGGTGAAAGTTTGATTTATATAATTAGATGAAAATTTTAAAGTGGGTGATGGGAGTTAGATAGAGGAGAGAGTAAGTTTTCGAGCCATACAGATTTATGTCCTTTGTAAATTTGTTAAAGTATACAAAATATCATTGATATTTGTCAATAATTTTTCGAAAATTGTGTTATTTTATCAAACTATGCTAAAACTTTGAGTGATAAAAAATTAGAGGCTATATTTTTAACTAACTTATCCATTCATCTTGCTAATATCAGAACTATATTTTTGAATTTTATATAATATTTTGTAAAAAAATTGGGTGAGGGTTAACTTAGGTTTCTTGACTTTAAAGGCATAATTAATTTTTCAGAAAATAATTGGAGAAAATTTGTTATTGATTCATTGAAGATTACATAAAAATTTCGATATTTCCAAAATTCAAGAAAATTATAATCTAGCTTGTATAAACTACAATATTTTGAAAACCAATGTGCGAGTCGATTTGTTCAAGAGTTATTAGGGTTGTTATCTCTTGCCAAATTTTTACTCTATTAATAATAATATTGCTAAAATAAAAAAGAAGTCGAATTAAGAGGATGATCAAACAGAGCCTAGTACCTTAAAAATCACCCTCCAATGCTAAAAAAAGGAGCAAAACAAAGTAATTCTTCTCTCATCCTTCAAATAAATGCACTAACTCATCACCAAAATTTCCATTAATATAGCCTAACTAAATCATTAACAATACAGTCATCAAAATTCTCATTTTTTTTCATTCTGAACGTACCTTCAAATCCAGCCTCTTCGATTTCATTCATGATAGTGCTCTCTTCAACACCACAGTTATGTAAATTCAGCTCTTTCAAGGACTCTTCCAGACTTGTTGGCTTTATAGCAGCAAATATGTAAGAAAAGTTTACAGGCCCATCCTCAGATGAACAATCCTGGAAGTGTAAACTAGAGGTCCTGCAATCTTCAACTTCTTTGAAATAGAGGGAATCTGTGATATTTATCTGGCAGAAACTGAAAATAAGGATCTTTCAAAAAGCACTAGCTTGCATAATTTTTCTCAGTGGTCTATCTTCAATAATCAGACGATTTAAAAATATCATCTTTGTAGCTGAAGGAAGTAATATTCTCAAAGAGTCCAGATAATAATCTACTTCAATCAGCTCTCGCTCTTTTTCAGCTTCCCCATTAATCTTTTCCCCAGAATTAAACACAATCATCCCCGTCTTTTCCGGAGAACACTCCTCAATAAACTTCTTCAACACCTTACTCTCCCTTTTCACATGATCTATCCCCATCTCCTTCAAATCCTCCATCCTCACCTCCTCCCCAATCATCTCCTTCATAAACTCCTTATCCTCCCTTGTCGCACAGTCAATAACAAGACTTTTCTTCCTTGTATCACTAACTTCTTCGACATCCTCCTCTTCAGCTTGTTCCTCCTCTATATCCTCTTCTTCGAAATCTCACTTGGACTGTTCTATTCGGAAGTTAGATGTTGAGTGTCAGTGGGGGTAATTGAGATGGAGCTTACCGATGGTGGTGGTGGCGCTAGTGAAGCGGGGGCTGGGAGGGATGGGGTAGGAGGTTGTAGCCTAATATTGTATTATAGGGTTTAGAACAAAATAGTAAAGTTTCAAAACTTTTCGCTTTTTTCGCTAAAATTATGACATAAAATTTAGAAGCCAATTCTAGAAAATTTACAAATATGTTGAATATGATGGAGAAGGAAATCTAAATAATTTCCCCTCTAAAAATGACTTCTCTGAATAACTTTCAATGAGGCTATTCTGAGGGACATTAGCGTCAAGAAAAGTTTTCTCTAACAAGCAAGGGACAACCTACCATATTATATTTTTTCTCGAGTGTTTGGTTGTGGTTCTCAAGCGTGTCTATTTTCATTTTCATGAGTTGTATTTTTCTAAGCATCTCTTCTTTTTCTGTGACAAGATCCACATTTTCTTTTACAAGTTTAGAATGTTTGGTATCAGTTTCTGCTTCAGAAGCTCTCTTGATCAATGCATTCATCTTGGATGGAACTGGTAGTCCTTTCAGTATCTCACCTCCACTTATAGTTGTTTCTGGGATCTTTATAACCTCAAGCATGTCCTTCATGAAGAAATCAAAGACCATATTGGAGATTAACTCATTTCCTCTGATATCGTTATTTTATCCTATGAGAAGTTAAACAATCTTGGAGAAGTTTTACTCTGAAATTCTCATTCTAAAATTGTTAGTTTTAGAATAATTTGATGCTTGCTGAGCTGCATCATAATCATCTTCAAGATCTTCGAGAAGGGTTTCAAAGCTCTTGATTTCTTCATCAATTCGCTTTTGACGAGAAGAGATACATCCAAGCTGTTTGACCTTCCTGAGAATTGTCAGCCAGGCTTTGGTCTCATCAATTGCGATCAATACCTGATCAAATTCTTTGAGAGAGATCATTTTTCATGCGAAATCGTGGCTTAGCTTGCAATTTTCACACTGTAGAGCTTTGTCTCCTTTGCAGTAATACTCAGCTTTATTGGCACAAGTGGGAGTCTGGCATTCCATTCTATAATCAATAGCTTCAGCCAACATTCTTTGAGAGAAGGCTTACCTTTTAAAACACCTGTAAATCTCCATTTATTACGTTTTTGCGAAGAATTATAATTGAGTTACTAGGTTTTGGGGTTTTGGGGTTTTGGGGTTTTGGGGTTTTGGGG